ATCTTATTACATTATCTTGATGGGTTGATGTTAACTTATGTTTTTCTTTTCTTTTCTTTTTTTGTTTTTGAAGATGATGTGATAATTAGAGGAACATGTAATGTAATGTAATATTATGAGTGTGTCATGGTTTCAAGGCATGTTGGAACAAAAAAGTTTATCTAGAGTATAACTTAAGGTCCCTAAAGATGAGTTATCACTTCAATGTTGTATTTAAGAGCCATACTTTTGCCTTGTGTGTGTTGGTTAGTTTTAGTAACTAATTTTTGAACTCTTTATGGTAATTTGATTGGTTTTTTGTTGTTATTTTAAAAATGTCATATCCATGATTGTAGAATGTGTATTATTTGTTATGCAAAAAATCTTGAAAGATAGTATGTGTATATGTTTGTTTCTTGAGACAACATAAGGGTAATATGATCATTTTTAAATCATTCAAAACAGTCAATCGGAGATAAATTTAAACAGCATGGTTTCAATTAGATGTAGACTCGGTCAAAAATTCTAACTCAATCAACACTAACTCAGTCAACAACTATCAGACGATCCCTATGTTGTTCCAATACTATTATCTTGTGTCGGCCTAGCATAGTATTATGCCACACTTAGTTGGTGTACACTCATTAGTCTTTTCTAAGCCAGCAGTTAAGTTTACATATTCTAGATGTGGTAAAATTAGGATAAATAAATACAAAAGAATATACATTGTTAGTGGAATGGTAGTTTATTGAATTGTCTTTGAGATTTTGTTACAACAAGAGTATTCAAAATAGTGTAGGAATAAGGGAGATTTATTCTTAAGTTGTTATATGATATTTTACTACGCCAAGACTAGTTTCTCGAACTGCCAGGGTTTTACATTAATCTTTGCATTGAGTGTTGTTTTTTATTTAATCCAAGATGTCTTTTATCGTCAATTTTCTATTGTTCAACTAGTTCTTAGCAAATTGGTATCAGAAATCACTTTAAGCCAATTTATGAAAAGAGATCATGTCAATTGTAATTGTTGTCCAAAAATGGGAATTACATGTTGGGAAGGCACTTTATCACACAAATTGATTGGAAATGTTTGAAGTTCTTTTTGGAGCAACAGGAACCGGGTAGCAAATACCAAAAAAATGTTATGCAACTGCATTTGTGGTTATCTACTGAGTGTGAAAGTTATAAACTCGAATTATACTTGTATAAAAGCCTAAAATTGTAAAACATTCGAAAAAAATACACTAGAAAGAAAAGTGAGAAAAAAACATATCATACAGGTAATAAATATGTTTTATACTTCATTTATTTAATAATCAGTTGTGATTCATCTATTTTATGATAAAATCATGTGTGTTGTCATATGTTAAAAACTTAGAGTATATAAATCATACAGTTGATAATATTATGTTTTAAATCACATATGATTAACATTTGTTATAATCACAAATGTTTTAGACATGTATGATTAAAATCATATGTGATTAGTAGCACAACTTTTTAATCATAAAATTGTCTTTGTTGTTACTTTTGTTTTAATGACATATTTTATGCATCAATCACATATGATTATACACATAAACATCTCACACTCTGGCTTAATCACATGTGATTATTACTAACTATTATATACATAAAGAGATTCAATGGCATGTGATTAGAATCTATTATGCACGCTTACATTTGATAATATTGTGTTTTAAATCATATATGATTAACATCTGTTATAATCGTAAATGTCTTAGTCGTATATGATTAAAATCATATATAATTAGTAGTTACTTATGATTATACATCAATCACATATGATTATACAAATAAACAACCCACACACTACTTTAATCACATATGATTACCATCTTTAATATAACACGGATATTCAATCACATGTGATTAGCATTGTTATGAACATTGTATGGTTATTTATCATGACTTGGTTTAATCATATGTGATTACCACCTACCACCTACCCATAACCCACCACCACCCACCAACCATTATCTATTATCCAATATTCATTTTCACGCTCTCGATTTAATAATTTTTCTCATGTATTTAATCATATGTGATTTTATATATTTAATCACATATGATTTATGCGGATAAGATTCATTTTTTCATTTTTTATTCAATAATTTTTCTTGTATATTTAATCACATGTAATTATATGTACTTAATGACATATGATTTATGTGGAGAATATTCATTTTAGCACTTTTTTTTTATTCAATAGTTGTTTCCGTGTATTTAATCACATATGATTATATGTATTTAAGAACATATGATCTATGTGGACAAGCTTCGTTTTCGGTTCTAGATTCAATAATTTTTCTCGTGTATTAATCACATGCAATTATATGTATTTAATCACATATTATTTATATGTACAATATTCGTTTTATGTTGTTAATTTAATAATTGTTCTCGTGTATTTAAGCACATGTGAGTATATGAATTTCATCGCATATGATTTATTTGGACAAAATTTATTTTTGCATTTTCGATTCAATAGTTTTTCTCGTGTATTTAATCACAGGTGATTATATGTATTTAATCGTGATTCTTATGTATTTAATCACAAGTTGTTATATGTATTTAATCACATATAATTTATGTGGATGAAATTTATTTTTGCATTTTCAATTCAACAGTCAATCTCTTAAATTATCATGTTCTTCAGTGGAAAATCTTAAAACACAATAAGTAAAACCTTTACAGACATTTTATCAAACAAATGGAGTGCCACCAATAACACATATGTTTTTATGTATTTAATCACATATGATTTAAGTGTACAAGGTTTATTTTCACTCGTTTCCAATTTCAATTATTGGTCTCGTGTGTTTAATCACGTGTAATTATATGCATTTAATCACATGTGATTAAACGCTGTTATTATGTTCTTCACCTAGAAACCATAAAACACAATATGTAAAACCTTTACATATATTTCATCAAACAGTTGGAGTACAACCAATAACACAAAGTAGAATCTAATTATTAGAAGTATTTAGAAAAAAAAAATAGATCTCTATAAGAAACCTTTCAGAATCATTTAACCAGTTCGGTGACTTTTTGATTCAGATCTGATACTTTTTGTTTCATATCAGGTGACTTTTGTTTCGGAACTATCGGAGAGATGCGGTTCAGGAAGAGCAGAGGCTAATAAAGGTCGCTTAGGAAGAGGAGAGGTGGAGGGTGGAGGTTTCCGACGAGAGAACGAGTGAAGACAAATCAAATAGGTGCAAATAGATTTGTAGAAAGTGAAGAGACAACATTCCAACGGTGTCTGGTCATTCCTTTGGTTCGACTTCCGACGACGCTCTGGTGGCCTTGGGTAGGGTTGTGCATGGGTCGGCTTTGGACCCAAACCGAACCCAACCCATAAATGGTCGGTTTCTGGTTTTCAGAACCTAATAGGGTCGATTTCTGGTCGATTTGGTTTCTTGGGTTCTAGAGTCAGTTTTCCAATTTCTTGGGTTTCAACCCATATACTCACGGGTTCTAGGTTTACCCATGGGTTTGGGGTTTTAACCTATTTTCTAGAAATGAAGCAAGAAGTTAAATACTTCAAAAAAACACATCAAAAAAATGCAATCAGGACCATAGAAAAAAAATGATTACAGTTTGTCAACTTTGACTTTGTGTTCCTGATCAATAAAAGGACCTAAATCTATAATAGATTGTATCGCATTCTTAGTATTAACTAAACCATAAATCTAAAACTCAATGAAAAATGCAATCAAACCTCATAAAAATGTTTGCAACCTCTTAGGCTCTTAGCCTCTTATTGATTAATAGAAGGAAAGATTCCTAAATCTAACTGAGAAAGTGAGAAGTGACTCAAGCGAGAATGACTCTTTTCTTTTAGGGTTGTGTTTTTTAATGTATGTGTGTCTATATATATATATATATATATATATATATATATATATATATATATATATATATATATATATAATGGGTGGTTCCTTGAGTCGGTTTGTCAGTTTCTTGTGTGGGTAGATTCTCAGTTTGGATGTGTCGGTTTCAGAGTAAAAAACGAAACCGAAACTGACTTTCAGTTTTTAAAAAATTCAAACCCTAACCGTCGGTTTTGCTTCGGCTTCGGTTTTTTGGGTTTCATCAGGTCTGGTCGGTTTTTCGGTTTCTTGGTTCGGGTTTGCTCACCCCTAGTCTTGGGGGCAAATGATATGTGTGTGTGTGTGTGAGAGAGAGAGAGAGAGAGAGAGAGAGAGAGAGAGAAGAGATAGGTAGATGGGGTGTGGGGTGAGTTTGGGGAATAAATGGGATGGGTTTTTTAATTATTTTTTATTTATATTAACATTGTTTATTCTTAAGTTATATATAATTTTTTGTACTATAACAATGTCATATGACCAAACATTATATCCACACATCTACTCTATGATTTTTTGTAATGTAACAATGTCATATGACCAAACATTATATCCACACATCTACTCTAGATGATTTTTTGTAATGTAACAATGCCATATGACCAAACATTATATCCATACATTTACCCAACTTTATTCTTGTTTGGTTTATCTCGAAGGTTCAATTTGGCTTGGAAGATTACTTTTCCATAGTTTTTAAAAAAGTATGTGAATTCAAAAGTATGATAAAAAATTCCAAAATATTATTTTCTTAATGTGTAACTTTTCCTTTGTAATTATATTTTGTTTTGTAATGATCCAAATATCCTGTATAAACAATTAAAGACACTTAATGGAGGTATATTTTTAATGGTTTTTTTTCTTTCATATGCGTTCCAAATATAAAGCTCATAAATTGTGTAAAATTTACTACCTTTAAATCCCTTGTGTACAAAAAAGACATACGTGATTAGATTAACTTATGTAATAGATAAGTTATTAAATTGTGTAAAAAAGCTGATTAACTTATGTAACAGATAAGTTATTAAAGAAATTTCCGTATTCCATTTTTTATCCAAAATTTCAGAAATCCGAACTAATATCTGAATCACTATCCAAAATTTTGAATATGGATCCAGTATTATATCATATGGCTAATATCCGCATATCTAGTTTTGAATTCCCCCTAACTATTGGGAAAAAGAGGTATCTTTTTGCAAATTTGGCCAAACTTGAAGGGCTTCTAGTAATTTTGACGAAAGAGATGCACCACAGGTTGCTCAGCTACATAAAGCCGGTAGATAAGGTCGCCCAGTGCACCAAAAGATGGGACACTGCATTTCAGGAACCTTAGCATCTCCTCTCTCAACACACACCAAATCACTCAAATTCTCCAGATACACGCTTTCTGCTTCCATTCAAAGAAACCATACCCCACCCCCACCGGTAATTATAAATTATTCTAATTATTTGTTTGCATGCCTCTTGAACGCAAAGTTTCTAAAATTACAAAAATCTATGGAATGAGTAATAATCTAGAGTGTTGTTGTGTTGTTCAGATAGGGAAAAAGGTAGGAAGAAGGCTGATACGAATATCAACAGCAGAAGGGAAGTGGCAAGGAAACTGGAATGCTGACTATAGCTTCTCACTTCGAGACCTACGTTTGCAAGATCTAGTTGAAGTTGATGATCCTAATGATGCACGAGTCTTCGTGTCGCTATCTATTCATAGGGTCTCTCTTCTCTCTCTAGGCTCTACTACACTTATAACGTGACAGTTTTACTGTGTTTTGGGAGGTCATCGATTGAATACGATATGTTTGATCAGCATGCAGGGTTTGGACTTTCAGTTGATGGGACAATTGACACGTCATTTACCAGAAAGTGTAGCAACTGCTCTTCTCCTTATTGCAGAAAGGTACTTTTGTGTGTCATGGTGGAAAAGGCATATAAAATGTGCTTCTGTTATTATTGTTCTAAGGTGATGTAAAATTTATTGTCAGATTACTTCCAGCTTCAATGTGTGGATTCTATCATCCAACAAAGATGGTGACTCGAATCAACTACCTGAAATTGGCGGCGATGATCCATCAGTATCTCCCTCCCTCTCTCTGTCTATATATATAATTGATAAATAAATGTATCTATATGTTTGTGTTTTTGTATACATAAGATATATGTGTATGCATTTATAGATATCTCTCTCTTAACATAGACACAGAAAGGAGGACTGAAGACATTGATGTCTTGCAGGTGATCTATGTGAAGCCTGGATGTGAAGCAGATCTTGACACGTTAATACAAGACAATATTAGGCTCACTACTTCTGTGAATGTACTATACTACTCTACTTGTCCTCCAAAACAATCTACACTTTACCTTTTTGTGTCAAATATCTTACTTCTTAATTTCAAACTCAACAATTATACAATTTGTGCCATGTGTTTGCAGGAAACATGTTCAGATTTTTGTGAGAAATCAGAACTCGGATTAAATAGTAAGTACTAAGCAGTGAAATTTTGAACAAGTGATCGCCACAACCATACACCAAAAAAAGATAGAAACAGTGTAATGTACATTATGTTGGTAGATCAAAGCTCTTATTTCCAGATCTTTACTTCTATTTGCAGATCTTAACAAGGCAAAGACTACAACTGTTGATAAGAGGTGGTCCAAATTATTAGAGCTAAAAAAATTGTATCAATAAAAACATGATATGGTTAGTTATGTTATGTTCATTTATTCATCATAGTCAAATATGTTATGTTCATTTATTCATCATAGTCAAATATGTTATGTTCATTAAACAGATAGTCAGATACACAAATGAACACGGTTTATCTAACCATCCAGTTTTGTATCAGATCTATATGAAGCCCAGAAAATCTTTTCGAGCACTCCTGCAAACAGAAGAAGAAGAAGAAGAAAATTGTAGCTCCAAATTTTAGGCTGCAATGTTGTCATTTGTAATTTTGTATATATCTTCTGGGGTTAGCCCCTTTCATCTTGTTTTCTATATCTGTATGATGTATACACAAAAACATTCTATACATAATAAATACTTATATATCTGCTAATCATCTACCTTTCTTTATCTCCAAAGAATCAACTATACAACACATAAGTTTCCAACTACCATTAGAAAATGAACAGCAGGAAGAAGTGTGACAAGTAATATCCAGCATTTCAAATTGCTATCTAATTGTAATTATGAAAATCATTGTTCATGAAGACAAAACAACATTTTTGTGACCCTCTTAGAAGCAAAAAAAGATTAATGGAGATAACTTAATCCTATGTACAGCTCATCTAATGTTAACCACGAAAAGGATATCATGTCATTGGCCAAACAAACTTGTGGTCTGTACCACTAATTATATTCCATGATCCATCAGCAATCTCATCAAAAAGTTGGGTCCACCCCCAAGATGAATACCCCACAAAAAACCAGTAGTCAGTCATGGAGCGATTGTGTAACTTGAGGTTTTGTATTAAATTGATTGTGGCCCATTGGTCAAGGAAGTAGATGTCTGGTAGAACTTCAGGGTGTTCATCGTTTCCGGAAGATTCTCGAGTTAAGGAAACAAGTGGGAGTTCACGTGCTATGACAGGACCACCGTAAGATAGTGGTGCCTCTTTCAGGGAATCCAACCCTTCCTCGAGTTGTGTGATGGTGTCCCAACTGATATGTTTGTTGATGATCAGACCTTGAAATCCGGTAGTTGTGTTGACTTTTACAATGAGGATTTTGGATTTGGCAAATGGATAAATACTCTGAAGCTTTTGGGTTGCAACAAGTATGGAACCAGGTAGTATTTCTTGTACAGATTTAGTGGGGTCGTATGGTGTGTGAGGCACCATGTTGTTTTTGGTGTCTGACTTGTGTGTATAGGAGTAGGACCTGTCTTTTAGTAGAATCTCATTGCTTTCCTTTGAGAGTGAAATGTCCTCATGTGTTGTTACAGGTTCTGATGGTTTCTCATTCCATTCTCCCTGTTCAGCTTCAGTCCATAAAATACCTAGATCATAGAAAATACAATGAATTATCAAATTGAAAAACTTTAACTAATTTCATCAGCTTGAATGGAAGATTGAATATCAAAATAGTGAAGTATTGAAAATGTTTTGCATCTAACATGACCTTACTATGGCCCCAATGATAGAATTTCAGGTGAGAATAAGAGCTACAGAACATAAGAACATAAAAAAGTTTGACCAATAATTACCTCGCTCCTTGTAAATCCAATGAGAATCACCACCTTGATCAGCAATAAACTTGATGACATTAAATACTGAGGTTTCCCCATCATAAGAGATTGCTTCCTTCCTTTCTGCTGGATATAATAGCAGAGATGGGTAAAGATCCCTCTGCATATCAAGACCACATCAATATGCATAAAATTTTGAAATAAATAAAGTTACTGATGAATTCTTAATAAGACTCCATTGTTAAAAAAAGGTTCTACTAAGAACTGATACAGATACAAGACATGAAATCTAAGTACAACATAGAAATGAACATTACATAGATGTAAACATGAGATCCCATGCTTCTAACATGGAACATGATATACACAGACCTAAATTTTGAATTGAATTTACAAATATGTACAATAACCAAAAGCAAGGAATAAACAAGTACCTTAGTTGATGACTGGAGTAGCGAACTACAGTCATTTTCTGTGCAATCCATCATATAGATGACTGGAAGCTTCAATACAGTATTATTTATGTCATCTGCAACACATTTAACCTTCCTTAGCAAAATGATTGTATTGTTCATGTAGCCAAACATTTAGCACTTAAAAACAGAAAGTTATACAAATGAAAATAAAATGACTTACCATTTCTTGATGAGGATTGCTCATTCTTGAATTGACTTTTTACAATATTGCCATAACCCTTGAATGCCTGATATACCTCACGAACCACAAGTTCTGCCCTTAGACAAAACCCACACCAACTACTAGTAAAAAGCACCAATACATCCTTCTTCCAAGCATTGTCATGAGAACCAGAGTGGTTGCCATTGCCAACAACCAACTCCATAAATGTATGAGCACTGACACGTGGTATAGAATCAACCTCATGAAAATCTTGATTAACAAATGGAGGACGTGGGGCCTCCTTAGAGTCAGGAACAACAGACTTAGACCGTTGATATGGTACAAGACTTCCATTGAGAAACTTGTGGAGAAAGGTAGATAGAGAAGAATAGCTAAAATCAGCCTCTTCAGGATACACATAATGTTGATGTGAAAGAGGATCAATAATCACCAATGATGGAATCTTCAAAACGCCTGATAACCCTTCGAGTAACCGAAATTGTCCATCGATAAAGAAAAAAGAAGAGTTAAAACCTGGTAGGTCCACATCTTTAATAGACAGTTCTTCCAGCTTATCATCATCAGATTGAACATCTGTTTCTGACATTGTGATATCAATATCATCAGAGAGTAGCTGGAAGCCTACATCTTTAGCAAGTGAACTTAATTTTGTTTCTTTTTTCTTCTGAAGAACTTGTGCCAAGACTTCTTGCAAGGAACTACCTTGCAAATTTGAAGCAACATCATCAAAAGTAATATGTTTACCTTCCTTCATGGCCATGATATAGATTTTGTCTTTTAGTGCACTTACCTTAGATGATGTTGACATCTTTAGCTTAGGATGCTGGGAAACAAATAAAGGTTTATGAGGATTGACAATGTTTTGAGCATTCATTTTAGATGGAGTATGATTGTCCAAAGCGAGTTCTCTGAAGATAGTAAGAGATTCTGTGCTTTTTCTTCTTATCTTCAAGGAATCGGATGATCTGTCAATGAAAAGGAGTACTGATGGCCTATCTGAAGGTAAACCAGGATCAAAATCATACTCATCACCTTTGAGCTGCATATTCAGTATCAGTCAAGAAATCAGTACAAGAACGATAACAAACTAAGGATCTGTTTCTTTTTCTTTTTTACTTACCTCCATAACAGGTGATTCATTATTCTGTATAATTCTTTTAAAATCACTCCCTTCTTTGAAAACCTTTGCACAGTTAGGACATCCAGCAGAGTAAAGCATCATCAACCATGAACTAGTATCTCCAACAACACCTAAAGATGAAATTAGTGATCTCTCAGAGACTAGACCAAACTTTAGTCTTTCAGGTGGCAGAAAGAAGTCTCTAACAGAAGTAGTGAAATTGTATAGGGAAGACTCAAACAGCTGGAACTCCTCGAAACTACAGGAACCTTCATCACTGGATCTCATTTTCTCAGCCTCCAAGAAATCACTCTCATTCAGAGGAGTAAATTCATCAAGTCCAGGAAGTCCACTAAACTCATCACACGGGATCTTTTCATTTCCCTCCCCCTGTTTCAAAAATATGCATTGTTATTACCAGAACCTTCTATTTTCTTTATGGCTCATAATTATGTGAAATTTTATAAAGTAGAAACTACCATCCACCTGATTCTTGATCCCATCAGCTGAACTTGATGCACTTTTTTCTCCATATAAGCCTGCCCCAAGAAGAACACCTGCATGATGAAGTTTCCATTAGTTCAATATAATATTGCCCCTAACCCGGAAAAGTCATATGCAACTGTTCTTTCTGGATTTCTGGATTATGTCCAGAATAAGTCAACTTAATCTTAGGCCTTGTTTTAGGGAGATCTACTGCTGTAAAATCAGCACTGGTATGATATCTGGTGATGGCCTTTATAAATACGAATCACCTAAATCTATTATTACTTCATTGAGATTTTAGAGATCAATTAAACTGTTAATTATGTGTATGTATGTATCTATGGTATAACATTATACTGACTAGCGTAATCTAACTTATTATGAAATTGTACTTTGAAAATCTAGACTTGTTTAATTTTGTTCCTATTCAGGCATTGTACTTTGTATTAGGACATTATATTTTATATGGGACATTGTAGTTTATATTAGGACAATAGGACCTTCAACTTTTTATTAAGACATTGTACTTTAAAAATCTAACCTATTAAGACAACTATTGAAAGGCATTATTATACATCACAAATCTAAACTTCTATGATTTTGGTTACCAATTATAGCATTATAGCTCTGGTTTTGGTCTTATTAAGGCATTGTATGTGATAGCAGAATATTGTTCTTTGTATTAAGACATTGTACTTTGAAAATCTAACGTATTAAAACCTTGTACTATGACATACGTGTCTTTTACTATATATACATGGAAGATACCATATTAATTAAACATTCAAATAACACACAGATATCAACAGATCAGCAACAAAAATCATTGTTTTGCTCCATAAAACAATTAAAGAGCTACAAAAGAGTACACCAGGGGATAACCTCCACCACAGCATTTTCCGATCATAAAGTTTATTTTCTTTTAGAAAAGAAGTGAAAAGGTAGGAAGTAATACCAAAAGCATTTTCAGATCTGTTATTCATAACCTTGGCCATCAGTTTGGGTGTCCATCCACAGAACTCCAAAACAAGTAAAGCCTTGTCTGTTGACTTGAGAAAAGACGTTAGGTCCTCTGTAGTTGATAAAGACTTGAGGGGGATTTCTTCAGGCAAAAGTGACATAAGATAACGAGCAGATGATAATATGCTTTGAACCCGATGTGTTCCTCGATATTTGTATGGCAAAGAATGGCGATAAAATATGATATTTATTTCCATTGTAGCACCGAGAGCATCTGCTAGCATCTTATCATGATTTCTATGAACGAGCATTAACTTCAGAGTTGTAAATTCTTCTTTCTTTTTACTGACAATGTGGGCTAATTCCTTCATAAGAGATCGAGACTCGCCAGACCCTGGACATGAAAAGACCTTATCAGTTATCAGATTTGTGATAGCATATAAATTAGGGTAAAGGTTGAAGAACACCAACTATAAGGATAATGGAGTAACAAATTTCATTGGTTTATGTAGGTTATTATCTTATATTATCGATAAGAAGAGGGGTACAAGTCTAAACACAATGACTTATGTAGAACTATTAGATATCGATTGGTAAAAGGAAACAACCTATGGATTCATTTATTAACATTATTTTCTCCAAGTATTTGCCTATCCATATGGGATTT